ATTTTTTAGACTGTACCTTACTGAATCCATACGTGATAGAAGATTTTTTTTAGCAGGCTCAATCGTTGAGAAAACCTGGTTTAAATTCACAAAAGTACATATTTTCATGGGAATTTGTTTTGCCTGTTCTGCCGAGTTTGATTTCATCCCGCAATTTGAAAATTAGTTTTTTGATTTTTTAGAATGGAGCTTGCTGAATCCATACGGTAGATTTTGTTTTAGCAACCAGAATTGTTGAGAAAACCGAGTTTAAATTTTCAAAAGTACATATTTGCATGGAAATTTCATTAGCATGTTCCAGTCTTCAAGGTGCAGCATCGCGCTTGTGAGCAAATAAGTTTTCGTACTCACAAAAACATTCATTCTGTGCTCACGCATGCACTCAGACAAATGAACATGAGCCCGAGCGTATGTTTAAAGTTCATGCGCGCACTTCGTTTTCTTCAGCGCTCGAACATCAATGTTCGCACCCAAGCGCAGACGCTGGTTTCTTTGTCAACATTTTGTTTTCGAATAAACGTGTGGTATGTGTGACGAACTCGAAAATAATTTAGTGGTGATTTAGTAGCGTTACCAATTCAGATATCTCTAATCACAAGAAGTAATCGTTGGTAAGTAAGACTGTATCTCGATTTTCATGGGCATAAGATATCATTGCTATACAACATATAAATTCTTGCATTGGTACCCCAACAAACAATTTTAGCTGCAGACCAGCATATACAGGCAAAAATTAACTGCATAAAGCAAACTAAGACTGTATAAGCTGATCTGCAGCTGAAAATTAATAACTATAAAAATGTATCGTGAACACTAGGTTGCTTGAAATGCAAAAAGAATAAGAATAAGAAGAAAAATAAATTTACATTTTTCAGATATTTTTGAATATTCTCTTCCTTGATTATATTAGAGATGTTCCTTCTGGGAGTATGAGTCCTCTACTAACATTACTGTTCCTCGTATATTGTTCTGCTTGCATGATTCATAATCGATAGTTTTAGATGACCTGTTTTGAACCCATCACAGCTTGTTTTTGGCACTTCTAAATATGAGTGAATTCATGTAAAATACTGAGTTAGTTCTAACTGAAACACTGCTCATATAGGATCAAAGTTGTTGAGTTTACATTAAGACTGAAAAATAAATTACACTGCAAGTTTCCTTGAAAATAATATGTAGCTTAAATATCAATCTATTCTCTGCTCAAGTCTACTTTTCAATGAGAAAAACTCAAAGAAATTTACGATGTAACTATAAATGATTTGTTCAGAACTGATATCAATCACATTTTCTTGAAATTATACGTAATATAAGCCCCTTGCCCCTAAGCCCCTTGTTTCACAGTACCTTTTCGCATTTCGTATTATTTAATCCACACAGGAGCACATTCTTTTGGACTGAACCAGTGTTGTGGAATAATTAATCTAATACGTCGTTTATTAAGCATTTACAAACCATGCAATTAAAACATGGACGCTTAGTGGTATGAGAGCTATTTTGCTGACTGTATTCTCCTTTATACAGCAATATTATAAAGCAAGGCAATGAAATCTAATAATGGAGCAAGAAAACATTTATAAGACGTCTAATAAAGAATTTTATTAAATCAATTGAAAACAGTCGAATTAAAGGGTCGATGTATATGCAAATTTCACTTATTCAGTTTGTTATGAGATCAAACTTCTGGTTCTGAAACAAGAAGACAGTCAACGTTTATAAAGCTTTTAATAAGTAAATTAATCATATCAGAACAAGCGGCATCTATAGATCATAATGAGCTTTTTTCAGCACCTAGTTCGACATCCTGTTTTATTCAGCATTGTACACTGTTATACAGCATTTATTCAATATGTATGCTTATTTGTGACTTTGAATTGTTTGTGGGGGGGGGGGGGACATCGAGACAAGATTCCAAAAACCTAACAAAAGACGATTTGGAGGCTTTACTCGAGAAAGAGTGCAACAATCCAGTGATCTACTTATAGGTTGTGTCTTTCTCAAGTTTATCTTAATCTGAGGCTTTGGATTTGGCAAACACAAAAAGTCGACTTCCAATCAACACAGATATTGTGAAATATTGGGAATCTCAACGCTATGAAGATCCACAATTGAATGCACTATCAACACGCTTAGAAATAATTAATTCTACACGTGAAGGAATCCTTTTTTGACATAAAATATTAGACGTAGAACAAACATGTCATTTAATATTAAGTGATTATTTATATTACGTTATTATTATAGTACGTTACGTTATTATTATAGTACGTTTGATTGAGCTATATTTCGCTTCTGTTATGACTCAAAATTGACGCTCGTATATGTCACTCTCAGAGCACCTAAATTTACTTGAATTTTTCTAAGTGTGAATGATTGGTGTTGACGATTGTCGCTAAACCAAACAAAACCTCTCTTTAAATTACGCACGTTGAACCCCAATTAACATCTAGTCACTCGGCAAGACCAACCAACCAATCAAGTAAAACCTCCGAGTGCAACCTCGATGTTCGAGCACAGGCGCAAGCACGAAACTTCAAGCCTGAGTTCATTAACGCTGCGCTCATCCCCAGGTGTTGTTCATTTCTCTCAAGTTCGATCTGCGTGTGTAAACATGAGCCTGAGAGAGAACGCGCGCTCTGAATGAACTTGCACTTCTGAAATTTGAACTCACGCTCAGCGCCGTTCATGTTTACGTGAAGACTGGCATGTTCTGCCAAGTTGGATTTCGGGTCCGCAATTTGATAGATAGTATCTGTTTTAACTACGAAGCGGACTAGATTGCAAGGAGGACAGGTATCTCGAATGATATGTATCTTTCTTAAGCTGGGTTTAGACAGGGCAAGTCAATTGAGCAAGTCAGTTGAATTCAACTGACTTGAACGCGAATTGAACGTGTAGACCATGCCATTCAACTGACTTGATCATCTCACTTGAATTGGAAAAAGTTTAACCAGGCTCAACTTTTCAAGCCAATTGAATTCAACTGAGCTGATCATTTGACTTGCCTAGTCTAAACCCAGCTTTAGAAGCAAAGAGAAACACGTTTACTTCAGTTCACGTTCAAGTTAAAACTCATAATTTATTTTCAGTTTCGAGCGGTACACACCAAAATATCCCTTTTTCTCTTTTACTCATTTTGATCTTATTTCGTGAGTGCTTGCTCTTCAGCACGACCACAACAGCATCAAATTTTGAAAAATGGACGATGCTGAATGCATTGATTTTTTAGCACACACAATTGTGAGAAAACTGGGTTTAAATTCACAATTGTACGTATTTTTATGGAAATTTTTTCTTGCCTGTTCTGTCAAGCTGGATTTAGGCACCATCTTTTGTCAGCTATACTTGAATTTTATAGAATGGACTTTGAATTTAAACCCCTTTTTTCTTGACAATACGGATACAGTAAGGCCCATTCTAGAAAATCCAAGTCTAAAATTCAATGGCCAAAACCTTAATCCAACTTGAGGAACAGGCAAAAAAATCCATGGAAATACTTATTTTTGGGACTTTAAACCAGGTTTTTTTAATCAACAATTGAGCGTACTAAAAAATGGATTTCGCAAGGTCCATTCAAAAATATCCATGCCTAAACTTAAAAGGACAGAACCGAAATCCAACTTGGCAGGACAGGCAATCTAAATTTACATGAAAATACATACGTTCATTTATAAATTTGTACCCGGGTTTTTCAGCTATACTACGGGCACAGACAAACAGACGTAACTCTTCGAAAAACTTGTTCTTGAAAACATAGTATCTCAAAACATATAACCTCAGTAACGACATCTATCTGGCTTCTCGCGGAAAACAAGCTTACTCGCTAACTCGTAAACAATATTGCATAAAATTTCTATAGAATATATAGAAACGTCAAAGTGATCCGATGCCAGCGCTGCGGCGAGTAGTTCGCGGAACTGATAATATTCAAATCAACCGTTAAATGCATGAACGAAGATACACAATGAAGAGTTACGTCTGTTTGTCTGTGCTACGGGCTACAAACAAAATCTAACCTCGCGTATGGATTCTGCAAGATTCGTTCTTCACAATTTGAGCCCAATATTAAATGGGCTGTGCAGAAATCCTACTTGGCAGAGCAGTTAAAAATTTAATGAAATTACGTACTTTGGTGCATTTAAACCTAGTTTTCTCAAAAATTGTACGTGACAAAATCTATTAACTTCATTGCAAATGGTCAAAGGGCGTAAAACACTACCGACTAGTGTAATTTCAAAACCAATCATTTCTGAGACATGGTATTTTTAGCAAAGTTTCTAATAATAATGAGGATCATCTTTTACCAGGATATTAGTAGGGAAGGGACTCTTCTTGGATCATGACATGCTCATCGACCCAACGACCATTTACCGATGTTGTACTGCTGTGAAGTGTTGCGTTCCAACTAACGTTGCCAACCTTTCAGATGTACTTATCTAGCTAATCCAGGATTCGTATCGCTCCTCAAGACAAGATTTTAAGATAAATCTGGAAGTCTCCTACGCATGTCAGATTTTTTCAGGCTTTTTTTGGGATTCTTCCAGCTTTTTCGAAACAAGTACTGACAACTCTGGTTCCAAACGACGCAGACGATTTTCAGGAAAGCAGGTGCAATCGGGATCAGGTAAAATTTATGTTATCCCGCCGGGACGTAGTAGAACTGGTTCGATTCAAGATAAGTAGACGGGATTTAAAGAGTAACTCTATTGGGTCACAGCATTAAAATCGTTCAATCATTTAATTTCGATCCGTCAAATGTAGTTCGCATCAATCAATCAGTTTTAAAGGCTGAATCATGTCCGTCGATATTTTACTGATAAATTATAAGTGTTTCTTTTGAGAACATACAATCATCACAACATAACCAAATTTTCTTAAATTTCAGCATCGTCCTCCTGTCCTTCCTCCACACCATCTCATTTGTATCCCACTTTCCACCAACGTTCGAAAAGTTAGTCTTAAAAAATCTAGCTAAACCCTGTTACTGAATCAATCCCCAGCTCTTCGCGATAATCGTTTTCGGGTGCGTATCGGCCGAGGGTTGGCGGGAAGAGGATGGCAAGGACTACTGCATCATCAATCGGGACGCCAATGCGTGCAACTACGCCGTCGGAATTGGTGTAATCGCCTTCCTGGCTTCGATGGGTTTCATCGCCGGCGAGTACCTGTTCGAGCAGATGTCCTCGGTCAAGACCCGAAAGCACTACGTGCTCGGTGATTTGGCATTTTCCGGTGAGTCGATTCTGGTCCGATGTAAATTGGATATGTTGTGCCTAATGTGGAATTGGTTTTGTTTGTAGCATTGTGGACCTTCCTCTACTTTGTCGGATTCTGCTATCTGACCAATGCGTGGGGCAAGGCGGACGATCCACCCAACGGCGAGGGTGTGAACAACGTGCAGGCTTCCATCGTGTTCTCGTTCTTCTCAATCTTCACCTGGGCCGCTTGCGCTTACTTCGCGTATCTGCGCTTCAAAGCCGGTGTGGATCCATCGTTCCAATCGACGTACGAGTCGGACCCGAATGCCACGAATCAATACTCGGCCTACCCGGTGGGAGGAGGCGGAGGCGAGAGCGAACAGTTCCAGCAGCAACCGTTCGGCGGTGGCCAACAGCAGCAACAGCAACCGGGTGGTGAGTTCTAGGGTCGAATATGATGTGATTTCAAATTTTAAAATTTCTTTATTTTAGGTGACTTCAATACTCCTGCTTATTAAACTTCTAAAAACATCGCACCCTTGGTTCCGTTGGATGACAACGGAGTTTGAAGAAGTGGATAGCAGTGCAAAGTAGGCTCTGGAGTATCCTTTTCAGCTCGGCTACTAAGCAACATATGAAAGTGTGCTCAGCAGCAGAATTAGCAGACATACACACGCAAATACAAACACTCACACCGACAGAATAGATCCAATTTAAGATTTCTAGTGTAATTTGGAAAATTGTCATCACATTATTTAGACAACAGCAGCCGCAGCAACAGCAATGAAAAACAAAACAAAATAACAAATCGAGAGACACGACAACAGTTAATATTTCTCCCAGATCCTATTAAGAGCGTACATTGTTATATATATTACACACACACATGCATAGGCAAGCATTCAACGTACGAAACATGAAACAGCAAAACAACAGAAACAAGGCAACATACACTCAAACACATACACATACAAACATAACCGGAACAATGAAGTAATAGCAAAACCAAAAAAAGAGAAACTCGTAAAAATCGAAAGGACAAACCAAAACAAATATCCAGATTTAAACAAAAGGAAGCAAAAAAAGAAGAAAATATTGTTAGTTTATGACAAAACAAAAAGTAATCCTATAAGAAAAAAAAAAACAAGAGAAAAAGAATATCTTACCATATAAGTACTTGGTATATTATTTATCATGATAATAATAATACAGAAGAACAAGCCTAGTTGATAAGAAATCGAGTCACGCGTTGAGACAAATAAACCGAAACAAAAAAAATTAACCAAGGAAATAAGACAAGTGGAAATGATAAGCGTGACGTCACATCGGATACGGTGTGAACAAGTGGTTGAAAAAGCTCATCAATGTTGGATCAAACTATATTTAACGGAAAGAAGAGAAATATTGGAAGATGCTTTTGACGGTTTAGAAATCATGTGTAGGCAAAAAAAAAAAAAACTAAAATAAAAACTATCGAAGCAGAGTATCCAGGCAAGGCGAAAAGATCTGTTTGGTGTTTCGGAAAATATGAACAAGTAAATTTAAACAAACATTAAGATCTGATCGAATCTGAAATTTGTCGTTGGTGATTGTAGTAGTTGAAGAGGCAACATCGCGAAGAAGTTGTTGAATGAGTGCTGGGAACAGAAAAAAAAAACGAAACGAAAATTGGAATGGTTTTTTTTGTGTGTGTTTTTGAAAGGTTCAAGTTGATTTGTTTAACTTTTCATTAGATTTTTTAGGCTGCAATTTGGTGGTTCAAGCTGTGGTTTTAGGAGTTTTAAATTCTTAAGCATGATTATAGAAATTTGCTTCTGATCCATAGAAAATCTCTCGGATTTGTCTTGCAATTTTCGTTGATAGGCTTTTAGGATTTCTAAAGATCAATTTTTAGAATTCCCTGGGAACTATACTGAGAACTCAATTTCTGCTAAGAATTTTCTAGAAACTCTACTCAGAAAATCTGCTTAGAATTTCCTTAGCACAATTTTTAGAATTCGCTTGGAACTATCCTCAGAACTCATTTTGTTTTAAAAGTAGCTCAGAATTTTGTCGGAACTCTACTCAGATTTTTCCTTAGAATTCTTTTGAAATTTGGCACTGATTTTTTTCAATTCGTTCCTCAATATCCCATTGGAACTACTCCCAGCATTTGATTCCCTTGCAGTTCATATCAGAGCTCGCTTGAAGCTCTATTCTGAATTCCCTCGGAATTGTGCTCAGTATTACTAATTTTACTTTTGCTGGTCCGACGTTCCTCAGGATTTGACCGTCAGTACACTAACACTCTGCGCTTCTCTGTAACTGCCAGATTCAAGGCAGACACTTTTTTGCATTGTCAAGTTCTGCTTTTTTTCCCTGTAGTCAGGACATAACACCACTGTGATCAGTTATTTGATCTGTAGTATATCCGTGTCCCTAGTAAAGTGCATTTCGTATTACTTCATCACTATTGAGAAATGATGCAGTATTCGGATTGATAAGATAATCGATTGTTCCAATTTTGACATGTCGTCTCTTTATAAATTCAGTCTCTTTAGTCTTAACCACCTCAAACTATGGAACTAGATGAAGACTAACTAACTCATTTTCCCTTGTTTCAAGATCATCCTTGGTGGACAAAGCCGAGTCTTGTCACTATCAACAAGGCATAAAAAGTAACAAGGGCTAAGATGTGTTCCTTTGGTTACCGAAAAATCCTGTTTCCCTAGTTTGAAATAGCCAGGACTAAGAAACGGTGGTAGATCTTACATCCCGTAACATACCACAAAAAGTTGATCTACCCACGCTACGTGGCGGGAATTTTGCTTGCAATCATTATGAAATTTCACTCCATGGAATTTTACTCTGAACTGAATTCATCTCCGAATGTTATGAACGCCCATATTAACATGCACCGCTTTAAACCAAATTCTGCCACCTTGAATTTCTCCTTCATCCGTCGGTGTCTGTTTCGCAATCTAGTGTCAAACACCAACGGACATCGATTGCCATCCATTGACGGCAATCGAATGTGCAGGAAGACAGCTTCCACTCCTGCGCAGGATATTGACGACCTGTGTCCACCTTTGCGGATAGGTGTCCTTTCTTTTCTCGGTCTAAAACCCTTTTAACGGTCCACCGAGACACTTCCACGGGGATTGAAATGTCTTTTTGCGACATTTGCACGTGGGAAAAATCACGAATACGCTGCCACTTCGTCATGGTGCAACTGTCAAATTAAGTAAATCATTTTCTTTTATGCACAGCCTACTACGGTATGCATGCAAAGAAAACCAAGGCATTGTATGCACAGGTGAAACGGGAACCTTATTTGTACAATGGTGCAAGCATTATCACGCATACGGTAATGCAAGAACCTGGATCAGTTCAAATGGCTTCAATAAATCTTCGAGCTGTTTCGGACCATGCTGGATTGCTTGAAACCATGAACTCCCTTGTTTAAGCCACACACCAGTTGGCGCTTTCTAGATTTAGTGAAACATGGTGGCTGTTCCATGAAAGCTTCATTATTGTAGTATGATGGCAGCAGTTATGTCATGATGATCAGAACTCAATCACTGGCCATCTGGTTCATAACTACGTTCTACCTTGGCTACTATACCGTTTCTTCAGAGTCCATCCCGTTTCGCTACAGCTCTTCCCAGACTTACCAAGCGGGCTTTGTGACAATCGACGTTTTCAATGACTTCACGATGCTATTTGCTTATAGCTATTTGTTTACAACTACTTGTTTACAAGTATGAGTGGAGTCGAGCTGCGAAATTAAACATGGTGTTTTTTAACAAAAGGCATATACTTTGAGGCAATAGAAGTTTGATATAAATTATTCGGGCGGCATCGGAAAATAATTCAAGAAGATGTCGAAGTTGTAAGCTTCTGAAGAACGACAAAACCTTTTCAGTGGAAGTTGGAAGACACTTCTAGAAGAAGCAGGGGAGACTTCAGAGGGAAATCGGAAGAAAATTCTAGGAGAATTTCTAAAAAATTTCCAGTAGTGAAAAGAATCCTGGGTAACTGGAAGTCAATTCCAGCAGAAGCCTGAATGGTTTCGGAAGAAATTTAGAGTTTAAATCTGAATAAACTTCCACGGGAACTTTGGTGAAGCTAAAAGAAACTTCTGGGAGTGGACGGGGAGAGGTCCGTTAGAATTTTAGGCGAACTTCATAAGAATTCTAGAAATAGTCACTAGGGGTCCATAGTGTTTCTGTGGGATGCCCATCCCATATAAAAGAGTACCATACAAGAACGATATCAGATATGGTGCAACCATATCACATGAACCTGCTAGAAAATTCTTATGGTTCATTTCTATGCGGGATAGGACTGCTTACAGAAGTCCACAGAACTTTTGGGATAAGCCCACATGACTTCATCAGAAATTCCAAAGTACTTCAAACAGTGATGTGCCCTGGAGGATAACCTCCATCACCGAACATCCGGATGGCAGTTCCGACCATTCCGATATTTACTTCCTCCATATTTGCCTACTTCCTAAGTGACAGGTTTTGGAATAGTGATCCAAGTGTGCACGATCTATTTGCGCTTTTCAAATGTCTCACATTTTGATTATTTCGAATAAAATAAACTTCACCTTCGGAACACACACTTGCTTGGCAAAAAGTAGACAACAACCCACATATCGATGAACAGCTGCTAAACGTCATCAGGACAGAAATGGCGGTGTGTTGAAGGTGCGCTTATACTTTCTGGGGCACCATATAGCCTCTCTAGACTTCTTTCTTAGTTGAAGTTCATAGAAACTCTAGGGGTTGTTGATCACAGGACTGCTGGGAGAAGTCCACAGGAAATTTGGAGGGCGTTCAGGACTTTTGAGGATCGTTCAAAGCACTTCTGTGGAAAGTATACAGGACCAGTGTTGGGAAAATATCAAAAAATCAAATCTCATCAACGCCCAAGATCACGCTTGATTTTCGTAGACAAAAATAAACAAGCAAATAACTGCGGTTGATTTTGCAAGCTGTGATACCGCAGCTCGGAATATCAAGCTAACAAAACTCACCAACTGCAAATCTCACCAAACTGCGGTGAGATTGAGTTTAATGATTTTTGCATTACACCCGAATGCAACCGAAACTTCCATAATGGCTTGCAGCAGTCGCTTCGCGTCTGCCATCGGTGAACATTAAAAAGAGATAGCAAACTATGTTTTCTCTTTTTAAAAAAACCGATGTGCAATGGAATCATTTTTGTGTCGAGTCAACTCTCAGCTTGATTTTTGAACGTTTTGAATAGTCTCGCAATATCAAAGGAGCTTGTAAAATCAATATCAAGCATGATATTTTGGTCCAATATCACGCGTGATATTGCGAGCGCATGAGAGCGGAAAAATATCAATTGATTTCTGATTTTGCCAACACTGTACAGGACTTTTAAAAGAAGTTTGCAGTACTTCTAGGGAATGTCTTTAAAGCTGCTGATGGAAGGCCACATCCAACAATCAATTTGAGCTGATTAAAAGCTGGGGGCCTCCCTTAGCTCAGTCGGTTAAGGCACCACTACAAAGCAAGACCATACTGGAGGTGGCTGGGTTCGATTCCCGGCCCGGTATGGGAATTTTTTGGGTAGGAAAATATCTCGACTTCTCTGGGCATAGAGTTATGATTGTCCTTGCCACACAATTATACTATTGCAAAAATGGTACAGGCATCGAAAGCTCTCAATTAATAACTGTGGAAGTGCATCTAGAACACTAAGTTGAGAGCACGCAATAAGCTAATATGCGATAAGCAATAAGCTTGAAGTGCGAAGAAGAAGAAGAAAAGCTGAATAAACTATTTTTGAGCTGAGCACGCATATTTTTGCCTGAATAAGCTCTTAATCAGCTTTCAATGTTTGTAGGGCAGGCCTTAGAGAAGAAGTTACCAGGACTTGTAGTGGAAGACCTCTGAACTTCAGGCGTAAGTCAAGTAGAGTAGACTCCTAGAGAAAGTCAATAATATTCCTAGAGGAGGTTCTCATGACTTGTAGAGCTGTTCACAGGACTTCTAGAGGTAGTTCTTAAGAATTTCAGGAGTTTTATGAACTTCTCCTAAAAGTACTATTAACTTCCTCGAGAGTCCGCTTCTCCAGAACATCGTCTTGAAAGTTCCCAGATAACTCCCGGAACTTCTTTCAAAAGTATTTTTTTAAATTTTCCCTAGTTAGTTCTGGGAATTTCCCAGTTGATGTTACTTAAGATTGTGTTTTGCTGTGGCTAGCTGCACGCATGCTGAGTAGATAGAAAGAAGATTGATGACGATTTTGAAGTTTTCCGGCAAAAAGATTATGCGCGATGCAAGCAGATGCGAGAAATGAAAGAAGATTTTTCGAAAGTTGATTCGCTGTGAGATTTTTTGAGCAACTCAATTGAGATTTAGATGACTCATACAGAAGTTGTTTTCATTCCACTCGATCGATTCACCTTACACGCGCACACTTCTTCGTCTTGTTCCAATGGGGTGGTTATCGAAAACCATTTTCACCGGGCTGTTGTCCGACATTCTTACGACATGCCTCCCACCGTAGTCACCTATTTTTTTACGATGTGGACGATCTTCTTCTTCTTCTTTCCATTGCCAATCACCGACGGGCATCGATTGCCATCCATTGACGGCAATCGAATGTGCAGGAAGACAGAGCTTCCACACCTGCGTAGGATATAGCACCCATTTAACACACATGGGCCGGGACCAACGACTTTACTTCCCATCCGAAGGAAGGCGTGACTAGAGATTTTTATGCCTCCTAAAAATCCCACCGACCTTGGCTGGGATTGAACCCAGCCATATTGGGGTGAGAAAGCAGTCACGCTTACCAGTACTCCACCGGCGCAGGCGATGTGGATTATGTGGTGTTTTTGCAACAGTTTTGCAGTATGCGGTTCATTCACCTACTCCACGATGGTACGCAACACCTTCCGTTCAAAAACACCATAGTTCGTCTCGTGCCCATAGTGGAATAGCGGTATAATTAGCGCTTTGGAGCTAGTCAACTTCGTGGTGAGGTGAGTTTTATTCGACCAGAGCGTTCTTCGGAGGCCAAAGTCATCATGATTCGCTGCCATAATGCGTCTTTAAATTTCTCTGTTGCTGTCTTTATCGACAGTCCCCAGTGAGCCCGATAACGCGAACTCGTTGACCACCACGATTTCATCGCCATTAATCTGAATTCGTAGCGGAAGGCTAACATTGTCTTCGCACCTCTTTCTCTAATGTATTTTGTCATCGAGGCATTAATGACAAATTTAATCTTGTTTGCTGCAGCCTTCAATCTGATATACGTTTCTACCACTGTCTCAAAGTTACGAGGCATAACATTGATGTCATAGGCGAAGCCAAGAACCTGGATTGACTTCTTGAAAAATGTACCACTTGTGTCTATCCCCGGATATTGCCCCGTAACGTGGGTAGATCACCTTTTCGTGGTACGTTACGGGATGTTAGATCTACCACGGATTTCTAGTCCTAACTAATTCAAACTAGGGGAACAGGATTTTTCGGTTACCAAAGTCTTAGTCCTTGTTACTTTTTATGTCTTGTTGATAGTGACAAGACTCGGCTTTGTCCACCGAGAATGATCTTGAAACAAGGAAAAAATGAGTTAGTTAGTCTATGTCATTTATTTGATTTCTAATCTACTATTCGTTGTTCCCTAGTTTGAAGTCGTTAAGACTAGGGTTCTGATGCATGGTCATTATCGGTGTCATACCTTAATTGTTTTGTTAAGGAATCCAATTTTAACTGAAAAAGGGGCGCGCCTTTGAAGGGTGTTCCAACACTCCGAAGGGTATAAATAGCGTGACCTTTCAATTAGAGTCGGATCCTTGCGATAAATGCAAGAATGACAACTGTGAAAAATCGAATACTTCATCATTTCTCAATAGTGATGGAGTAATACGACATGCACTGAACTAAGGACACAGGATATACTACACTACAATAGATCAAATTACTGGTCGCAGTAGTGTTAGGTCCCGAATAGAGGAAAAAAAATCCCCGGCTATTGAGTGTAAGTGTAATTTCTGTCCAAAATAATGCACATAAATGGAGCGCCGCATATCATTCAAGTTTACATTATAAATCGTGTTAAGTTCTGAGACATTTCATGGAATGTTGCAAATATTGAATGCAACCGTCCATCTTTGAAACAACATTTCTTGCACGTTGCTGGTTTGCGTGAAATGAAATACAAGTTTACACGCATAAATCACTAGTAACATTCAGAATGTTTTGCTGTGTATGTTTCCTGTGGACCTCAGATAGCATAACCATAATGCATTCATGTTTATGCACATTACACAAAGTTACACCACGCCGTTGGTCCCCGGTTCATGAGTTGATGGGTCGATAGGTAGGGTCCAGGTGTGGGAGCTGCTTTCCTGGCGTCGGTAGCATTGGTACTCAGTACGGAAAACAAAATCGACGGAAAACAAAATAAAAAAAAACATTTTGACAGTTTGAAACAACCACATCAAAGTATATGTTTTGTTCAGTTATTCAATCAAATCGATTAATATTCGTTAATAACTCAATTCACTACTAGAAAAACCAGCCGAAACAGTTACTAAATAAACACTCAAAACGTTCCGAAATACTGGCTTTAAGTACAGATACACCAAACGGGAAGAAGTGGACATCTTATGACGAAATACATAAAATTTCTTTAAACCCAAAACTGACGCCTAACAGTCAAACTGCATGTACTTAGATCTCACCAATCAAAATCATGTTACTGTTCGAGTAGCTGATTTCGCAATCATATTATTACCAAGCGATATTGT